CATCTGCATTTCCATTCAAAATGTTGTAGAGGCTCCTTTAATGCTCCCCTTTTTGCTATGCAATCCCCTGCCCCTGATTGCTGCAGGGCCTGGACAGCCCTGCTGCTCACCCAGGAGGCAAAAACTATGGTTTTAAATATCGCATGGTTTTTGCCTCCTACTGCTGATTGGTGGAAAAGCCCTGGCAGCCCCGCCACTAACTGCTGATTGGCCGGGAGGCAAAAACCACAGTATATTTAAAATTGCGATTTTTCCTCCCAGGCAATCAGCAGCGAGTGGCGGGCCCCTCCACCAACTGGGGCAGGGGGAGAGGGGTAGGGCCCAATGAAATGAGCAGCATTAAAGGAGCTGATGCACTGTGTACTTCTGCCACAATTTCAATAGGTTCCTAATGATCAGTGCAGATGACTGCTGGATGGATCATCATTTGATACGTTCCATCATCCATTCCATCACCCCAAAACATGGTAAACAAAAAAGCAAAGATATTCAAGACCAAGTGCTTGAAAGACCTTAATAAAAGTGATAATCTCCAGCAGCACCTCAGTGAGGAACTCACCAACCTCTCTGATGATCTCAACATCATTGATCACTTGGAGAGCCTCAAGAAAGGCATCCATGAAGTGTGCAAAGAATCTCTACATTTCTCCACAAAGAAACATCAGGACTGTTTGGATGAGAATGACAGGGAAATTCAAGCTCTCACTGACAAGAAAAAGGAGAGCCTTCAAAATCTGGCAGACTGACATCAACTCCAAAAACAAGCAAGACATTTATTGCCAGGTTAAAGCCAAGATCCATAGCTAAATCCAAGAGTAAAAGAAAAAAAGTGATGAGAAGACAAAGCGAAAGATTAAAAAATTTGCTGATAGCCACAATATGAATAGCTTCTTCAGCGCAACCAAAGGTACGTATGGGCCAAGCAGACAAGGAGACATCCCTGTGAGGTCCAAGGATGGAACAACAGTCTTCAAAGATAGTTCCACCATCAACTCTCAGTGGAGGGAGCACTTTAAAGAGCTCGTGAACCAAGATTCTAATGTTAAAGACAACACCATTGGAGGACTACCTGCAGATCTGACAACTTAGAGAGGCTCTGAAAGGGGTTAAGCAGATGAAGAACAACAAAGCATGTGGTCCTGACAGAATACCAGATGCAATTTATAAGCAAGGTGGGAAAAGGCTCTCTCACCAACTATACATCATTACCATGAAAATTTGGAAACATGGACAGATTCCCAGTGACTTGAGAGATGCCAGAACTGTTACCATATTCAAGAAAGTAGATAAATTGGATTGCAGCAATTAATGCAGTACTGCACTCCTGTCCATACTTGGGAAGATCCTTCCCCACGTTCCCATCAACAGACTCGCTTTCCTCCTAAGAAGATTCTAACTGAGTCCCAATGTGGCTTCAGACCACTCAGAGGTACAACAGAGATGAATTTTGTTGCTAGACAGTAGGGCTGGACAAAATTTCGGCAGCCGTTTCGTTTCAGAGGTGTGTTGGTCTGTTTTGGCGCCTGAAACACCAAATCTGAACCGAAACTGAAGGCTCTGAAACAGCTCTGAAATGAATTGGAAGGGTCCGAAATGTTCTGGAAACGTTTCAGAGCCGAGCTTGCAGGGAAACAAAAACTAAGAAGAGGGGAGGGGAAATGGGGTGGGGGGAAGAAGGACTGCTTTGATTTTGATATCTAGCTCCCAGGTCGATACCCCAGCTCTCTGATCATTCCCCCAGCTCTTCCCAGGGGGTATGGGCCACTAATCTGCACATGGGGTTTTAGCAGGCTGTTGCCAAAGGCTGGAGCCAGCAGCAGCCACTTGGCGCAGTCCATGGCAAGCACCGGGAAGATTGCAGTGCTGCTGCTGGCCCAAGCCTGCAGCAGCAGCCTGCTGAAACCCAGTGCACAGATCCGGGGGCCCACGCCCCCCAGGAAGAGTTTGGGGAATGATCGGAGAGCTGGGGAATCGAACTGGGGGCTGGAGAATCCTTGCCGAGCAACCTGGCTCCACAGGGAGCAGAGACCCATGCTGGGGTCTCCTCGCCGCCGCTGCCCACGCCACTCAGCCCCACATCACCAGGGCAGTACGGGGCAGGCAGTGGCAACAAGTAGACCCCCGGTGTGGATCTCTGCTCCCTGCAGAGCTGAGTAGCACAGCAAGGGCCAGCACGCTTGCTCACCGTTCTGTGCTGCTTCCCTGTGATCTGGCATGACAGGGATCAGAGATCTGCGCAGGGATCTCCTTGCCTGCATGGAGGGCAGCGGCCCTCCCCCACCCCCAGACAAACCACCCACAGCCCAGTCCCGCTCCCCGCTTGGGCCCCAAGCCCCTGGCCCCAAGCTCCGGCCAGCTGGGTAGGGCTGTGTGAAGCTTCCCTTGCAGCCCGTTTGAAACAGATTTGGAGGAGGTTTGGCAGAGCCAAATCTCCGAAACAGATTCAGCTGAAACTAAACAGGACAGCGATCCGAAACACTGAAACAAGTCACTGTCCTCCGAAACAGCCAAATCTGAAACCAAATCAAAACACAGACGTTTCTCGCAGCCCTACTAGACAGCTGCAGAAGAAGTGCTGCTGCTAATGCCACAGAGATCTTTGCATGACTATCACTGACCTTAGATCCATCCAACCAAATGGCCCTGTGGAAGAGCCTTATGAGATATGGATGCCCACCAAAATGGTGTTACCATCATCAGAACTAGACCCCTTCACTTTTAGAACTGAAGCCAAGCAAGGATGCATGATTGGACCAACATTCTTTTCCATCTATATAACAGCTATTCTGCATCTCTCTGCTGACAGATTTCCATTTGGAGTCAGCATCCAGTATCATGAACATGAATTTTTTAACATCAACCGTTACATTCCAAATGCAGGATAACAAATATCTCCATTATTGATCTTCAATACGCTGACAATTGTGTTGTATGCCGACTCAATTTAAGAGCTACAGGTCACTCTTGTGAAGTGTATGAAATGCTTGGACTCGCTGTCAACTTCATGAAAACCAAGATACTTTACCAACCTACCACAAACCAACCAGCTGCTCCTCCACATATGACGATTAGATGGCGATCCTTGCAGAATGTTCAGCATTTCCCCTGTCTGAGTAATCATTTTTTCCAAAAAGTAAACATGGACAACAATATTCAACACCGGATGAAATCTGTCAGAGCTGCTTTTGCACATCTCTGAAATTGCATATTTAGTGATCTTGACAACAGAACCCAAACCAAACTTTTTGTCTACGAGGCTTTTGTCATCCCTATCCTATTGTATGGGTGTGAAACTTGGATGACACTGAAAACACCCAAAAGCTTTGGAACGTTACCGTCAGCAACATCTTTGGAAAATACTCCATATGAACTGGAAGAAGAAAAGAACAAATGGCAGCTTTCTGGCTCAAGCAAACACCACCAGCATTGAAGCCATTTTTACAAGGCATCAGCTGCACTGGGCAGGACATGTCATAAGTATGCCTGGCAACTGGCTCCCAAAACAGGTTCTATACTCCCAACTCACCAATGGTCACTGCTCTAGAGGTGGGCAAAAGAAGAAATTCATGGATACCTTGAAGGTCAATCTGAAGAAATGCGATATTAACATCAATGCCTGGGAAACTCAAGTATTGAATCATGCCCAATGGTGCTGTCATGTACAACAAGGTGTTGATCATTTGGAGCAAATTTGCTTCACTATCAAGGCAGATAGACGAGACAGAGAAACT